TAAAGTTGTTTTTCCGATTGTGTACTTTCAAACTTTTATAAGGAATATTTGCTGCAACACAGTTTAATTAGTTTCGGTCGCCGCGTTATTTAGATACGTTGGCTACGTAATGTTTAACAAAATATTTTAAAAGACAAAGTTTCCTTTTTCCATAAAGCAATTAATAAACGAGTACTTTTTTAGTTCATACTGCTAGGGACTTCTAAAGCGAAGCGGAGCAAACAAACCAGTTGACTTGACTAAAGCAACGCTCTACTGCCGATACCGAGCGATAAATTATAAAGAAACAAACTCACTTATTTATAGATACTTAATATTAGTAAGAAACGGAGGATAAGTTTTACTATAAAATATCCTGGCTCCTGCTTGATAGTAATATATGTAATTTGTGTATTTTATAAGTACATCAAGCGATAAAGTAACGTATCAACCAATATTACCACCGGAATAACGGAACGAGAACGCTCAAGTATCAATTTGAGAGTGGCTGTAAAGAGCCCTTGTACTTTTAAAATGAAAATTATTTTAGTCTCATGCGAGACTTGTCTTTTGTAAATAAATGAGATTGTTAGTTTAATAAATTGTTAAAAAACTTTAGCTTAGTAATATTTTTCACTTTAATTCTTAAGTCCTTAAGAGATACATGGATGATGGAGATGGAATATTGGTATTTCAATAATTTTTAATTGATGTGGACGGTGAATGAGATCTATGCGTGTATGTATGTTCCCTATGAACTCCAAAACAGCTGGAGCGATTATGATGAAATTTAAATTTTACTCTTCAGATTAGTCCATCGAGTGATCCTGTGAAGTTTGGTAGCGATCGAAAGTTTAAGCGCGGGTTGAACGAGTACTTTATAGAATAAAAGCGACTTGCCCTTGCTTCGTTTAGATGCGTTCCTAGGTACCTAACAATATCCAAAAAAGTAACTCAACAGCCATTTTTTTCCGACTTCAATTAAAGTTATTATTATTTGTGACTGTAAACACATTTTATCGAAATATAAATATGCTTATCGTGATTTTTAGAATCAAAGATGTTTCAGAAATTACCTCCTACATACAAACTCACAAACTTTACTTCTTTATAATATTAGTGTAGATTAGTTTAAAAATATTTAAGGTATCAGTAGTTAAAAAAATAAAATTAAACTTAAGTTTTGTAAAATATTTTTGTACTAATTAAATCATATTTTTGTCTCTAGATGTAATGTATTAAATTTCTGGTAGTGAAATAGTTGTGTTAGGTAGTTTGGACCTTGTGGTAATATCGCAAGCGGTTGCAACGCGTGCCCCATTTAAGATGATTCTTTGATTAGGGTTGCTGAGCATTATTTTCGGAATTATATTGTTACTAAAACCCCAAAACCCCTAAATTCTTTAATGCTACTTTTAATATCAGTTTGTTAAACAAACTGTAGACGCTTTGTAGAAATTTTACAAGGTTTAATATTTCGTTTATTTAACTAAGTGTTTATGTTCGAACAACTTTGTGCTTAGAATTAATATTATATGTACATTGGTTGAATAGTGAAACTATTAATAAATTAAAAGCAAATGAATTATGCTATTGGAAAATTCAAATCGGCTGGCAACCCTATTCATAGCTACCCACAGAAACCACGGTCCTGCGGTCTATTTGTTCTCATGTGTCAGTGTTGAGTCCTGATTACCTACTTTGATTAAAGATATATAATTTTTGCTCTGGCTTCTACAGTACAATTCTCTTAGAATTTGTTAACATATATCTAAATAGAATAAAATCATACTACTATTATAAATTTGAAAGTTTGTATGTGTGTGTAATTGTTATTCCTTTAGGTTGAAGCAGTTAGACTTTAGATGTTTGTAGTTATGATCTGGAATAATATGTACCTCCCATTAGTAAGATATTTTGCCAAATAATAACAATGCCTGTATAATGTTTATAATATAACGAATACAAAATGACGCCTAGGGAGACCAGAACGAAGCGTGGGTATGTCGTTAGTGCTACAAATATCATTACATATTATTATAAAGTCCCCGCCGCATCTGTCTATCTGTCTAAACGCGATAAACTCAAAAATGGTTGATCGAAGTCAAAAACTAACAAACGTATTTTCATATAGTTTTCATAATTAGTTAAGGCTTTTTGTAAATTAATTGTATTACCATGATTGTTAAAGATATCGGAATAATCATGCCAACTGGTAGCTTTATTGGCGTGCGCTGCGTAAACTAATAAAGTTATATTATTAAATCAATGTTTTACAGAATTATTCTTCTTAAAAAAATCTTCCTATTTAACTGTCGCAATGCTACGTACACCTACTACTACTAGTAAATGCTAAATATTTCAAGTTTTGGGAATAAATTAATTACGAGTATAACCATTTAGAGAAAAATGCAACCCTTAAAGAGGACCTAAGTATCAAAATAAAAGAAAGGCAATACAAAATAGGTTAAGACTTAAAATAGTGGCCAAAATTATGCGCAAAGAAATTGAAATTACAACCTTTTTTCATCTCGCATATAAATACTAACATAAAATATTATAATTAACAGAACATAAAACAACAATATGTTTGAAAAATGTGGAAGTACAAGACCGTTTTTGTTAGTATAGTAGCTGCATTCTTAAAATTATTATTTTTCACTACTTGTAAAATGTAAAGTTTTAGTAGTTTTAGGCGCAGATAATAGTTCTACATAGACTCATTAGAAGGCTACCTTCTAATGATTCTATGAAAATATCAACTGATAGAAATTAAATAGCTTCTAAAATGTGCTTCCTTCACGCCATAAATATAAACTAAATGTTAGTAAAGAATTCTCGCTTTAACATATAGTCAATATAGTTAAATGACGGTTTGTAATGTTCTCGGAAATAGTTAAAATTAAGGAAAATCACAAAGATTCCGTCCCCCTCTGTTAGTCACTGGGCGTGTTAAGTGTATACTAATTACGTTACAAATCAAGACACGTTTTGGAATTCTCATTGATGAGTTAACTACAAGATTAGTTAGTGTAGTCGAAACATGAGATAAAATTTAGTTGTTTATTCGAAAATTCAAATATAATTTGGTAATAAATTAGGAAGAGCTTTGTATTTATTTTGCAGTATTATTTTTTAAATTACAATATTAGGATAGTCTGAAGAGGAAAGGAACTGTTTTTTTAGGAATAGCTTTTTATCATGCAATCTCAATTTCTGAGTCAGCATTGTTAACTTCATTTCAATCGGCGCTGCGAATCAAAAGATGAAACTTGAGCTTCCAGTTAGGCGGAGTTTGTTAGTTAGACTGTTCCGTATAGGTATAATTGGATGATATTAATTGACAGAATACTCGTAGAAATCTTGAAAAACGCGATAGACTATTATTACTCTTCTAGGTACATCCAGTGTTTTACGTAAGATATGTATATACATATTAGCACCTCACCCTCACTTCGCAAAACAAAAACAAATCTATCCCACGAGAACCGTACAATTTTCTGGGATAAAAAGTAGCCTAAATACTGTTCCAGACTATAATCTATGTGTGTGCCAAATTTCATCCAGGTTCGATCAGCTATTCTGGCGTGATTGAGTAACAAACATCCATCGAAACATCCAAATATCTAAACTTTCACACATAATACATATTACTAAGATTACATACTCGTACGTATGCAAAAAGTCAGTATCCTTAGTGACTTTTTGCGTCACACACGTACACGTGTCAGTACTTAGGTACTATTTATTTTACTTCTGAAATATTTATGTAATAGATATTAAAATAAAATATGTGTAAAAATACGCAAATTAATATGTAAAATAAATAAACAACGATCTAGAAAGATAAGTCGTCTGTAACAGACATCGTTCATAAGAGCAGATTCAGATAAAATTTTAAACACTGAAGAGTCGAACCTCCATCTGCATAAGTGAACTCGCATAGGTATTAAATATGGTTTTAATATTCACATATTTTATCCTCGCCGAGCGGCAGAGAGCACGTTAAGTCCTCCGATTATCAGCGGAAAATGATGGAATTCATTATGCGCTTTTATCAATTGTCCGCCATTTATATACTCTTACATGTACGGTACAATAAATTAGTAACATAAACTGAAAATGCACGTTTGGGTGGTTGGTTAACGGTGAAATTTTACGTTAGAAGTCTGAAACAGCAGTTATTTATAAGGTTTTTTTAATATGGTAAAATGATCAAAACTTAAAAATGTATTCATTTAAATTAATTAATGATTAATTTATTTACTATTTAGCTTTTTATCTGTATAAAGTTAAGCAACTTCATTCGTTCGATTGTACTCGAACATGTATTACGACTGAAGTATATGTACGTCCCGTACGTACGTAAGAACAGCTTAGTAGTAAAACATAATGAACGCTTTGTCGTTTATCGGGAATAATTATTGCACTTTTGGTGATTAATTAAAGCGACATATCGAAAATGAAACGGTAAATTCTGTGTAAATTTAAGTTTTTGTTTATGGTGTTTTCGTACGATAAATTAAGAAGGTGCAGATGTCATGTTATAAATTACCCTAAAGTACATGTTAGTTTTCTCTATTCAATAAAGTATCGAATCGAAATATTTCAACGGTCAGAGTGCCACGGTTTGAACATTTTGAAACAAATAGCTACCTATATTTATTTTTGTACTAATACCGTGTAGCATTAAAAATAATTATCTAAGAATAATCAATATAAAATGTGCACAAAAATTCCATCATTTATATAGGTTTATGTAAAATCCGTAAATGTATATAATACTAGCGACTGCCCTCACTTCGCTTCGTCTCTAGACAAAAACAAATCTATCCCATGGGAACCAGAACCAATACATTTTTCCGGGATAAAAATTAATCTATTCTGGCGTGAAAATAACAAACATCCATCATCCATCCTCACAAACTTTCACATTTATAATATTAGTATGGATATTGATATGGATAGATTTTAAGTTAAAATGAAAATTCCTGGACATTTATATAAATAAAATTCTCTACCTTATTATCCTTCTGCCATGAACAAACACCTTTCTTATCGGATATCCGGCATTTAAGTAATGCGTCTTCCCCCGGATTCACCTCTGTGTAATTGGGCAGTTCAACAAAACGCTGCACAGCATCTGAAATAGAGTAGAAAGTTCCATGATATAGTTTCAATTTAAAGTTTCTATATCCACTAAATATGCAGAACACGTCTATGTTGGGCTAACTGTTTGCACGTTTTATAGTGACTAATCTCCTTGGTTAGGAAGCGGTCAGGAAAGTTTTTTGTATATTTATTCAGCGGACTGTGGTATTTGCGTGAAATATCACAATTTAAAATATAAATTTTTGGTGAACCGAAATAAACTCGAGTTGTCTAATCTAATATATCTTGTATGCATTTTTTTTTCAAAGTTAGCGAATGTAATGTAATCTTAAAAGATTTTATTAAAATTAAAGATTTTGAAATCTACACATAAAATGTATTTTTCCATAAATTTGTCTAAGTTACGTTTATTACCTAGGTTTGCCTAAATAGAAATGCATTTAACGCATACATTAACATAAATATTATCATGAATGAATGACAATAACAATACAATGCGTCTACTAATAGATTCCGTAATGAATAAAGCTTTAATAGGATCATTTTAGAAAGATATTGCGTAACATACAGACAATAAAACATACATGCAAGTTGAATACCTCTTTATTTTAAAAGTCAGTCAAAACAGTAACTGTTACGTATATTTTACTAGCAGACTGCTCTTTTTTACTGATTTGATACATGAAAAATATATTTTTCCATTAACACTTTTCCAATTTTTTCTTAGGCTTTTGACTTGGTCGATAAAATATCAGCCAGGACAATATAGATAAATAGAATGAAAATATACTTTACTAAATCAGTCCTCGTGAAGATAGTCTAATACAAACAACAATCAATTGTATAACTGCCAACTCACTGTGAACTTATTTTTGACTGAGCTCGCGCTATATTACTTTGATATCTTATAGTATTTCGGGCCAAAAGCCATGCAGCCAAACATTAAAGGCCAATATTGAATGTAAGAGAAGTCCGTGTTATATTGGAGAGTACGGACTTGGCTTAAAGTGACAAACTGGCCCAACATTTGAGGTGTTACACCGTACCGTGAAATTTCACGGCTTTTAGCGATTACTGTGTATTATACAACTCAGTGCCATTCGATTGCTTTACATTTTTAATGGTAAGCCTGGGATAAACCATTTTTTGCTGTCAGCGGTGCAAGCCATAAATATTTGATTACATTATCACCGTGAAGAAATATGGTAGATTTTGTAAATGATAAAAATGTAGCGTTCAAAAGTTTCGTTTGTTTAATTTTTTATACTTCTAGTTAAATAACCTATAATTAAACCTATTAAACTAATATTAACTACTATATTTTTTATAGACAAAAGTAAATATGTAAATCATATAATTATATATAAATAAATTATATAATAACAAAAATTAATCATCTTAAAAATATATCCAAAAAATTTGTTACATTTTTTTGTAATTTTTTGAAAACTTACTTGAATTGTAAAGATTATTATGATAGTAAGTATAGTTATATTGCAACAGTTTTATTATTTACTAGCAGACGCGGCTTCGTCCGCGTTCAATCTACAAAAGAAAATCTTGTAAAATTTTTTATACAATATTAAAATTTTTGGAAATTGTTCATATAAAAATATTAAAATCGCGATTTAAAATTAGATGGTGGGGGTATGAGGGTGAAAAATACTCCAAGATCTATTCTCATACCTACCAAATATACCTACTAAAAAAATCATTAAAATCGGTCGAGCCGTTTCGGAGGAGTGCGACCACAAACACCGTGACACGAAATATTTATATATTAGATTAATATATTCCTAAAATAATTGCTGTAAAACATATTCTCAACAATGCAATTATGATAACAAACCCTTCTGTTGAAAACACCGCAAGCAAGAAAAATATGGAGACGTTGCAATATCAAAGCAGAAAACAATGATAAAGACTAGTCCGCACTAAAAACAATTAATTATCTTACTCGAAGTTTAAGCGTTCTTAATTAAACTTTTTGTACTTTTCCTAGCAGACACTACGAAGTTTTTACTGAGAAAGCCAGTCATCACTTTTTTCCTTCACTCTGTCTCATTTTACTGCAAAAGTTCGAAACCGACACCTTTATATGCTTTCTTGGTAAATGAAACTTATTTATGTATATTACGTTTTGAATCTAGTCTGAACTTCACATACGATATTGGAGTCGCTACAAAATCGTCGTGGCAAAAATGTCGTATTACAAATGAGAAAATTTGTATGTCTGTATGTTTATTACTTAGCGCTGAAACGGCTGGACGGATTTGAATGAAATTTATTATACTAATAGTCTATAACCAGGAATAACATATAAGCGCTAGTTAGGCACGTAGTAACGTACCCGAGCAAAGCAAGGGTAAATCTCTTGTAAGAAAATAAATTAGTTATTTTAGCAAGTTTCTATTTAACTTTACTTGACTGAAGGTTATCCTATTGAGCAAATTTATATATATATATATATATATATATATATATATATATATATATATATATATATATATATATATATATAATTTTCTTACCAATTTGGTAGGTATATAGAGGTGATCTGATGATGGAGCCAGAAAGTGACTTACAAAAGGGTTAGTTTTATACAGACTCCTAACTTTTATATCTCTTTTATATCTACTGCTTGCTGAGTTTATATTCGCCGGGTACACAGACGGTCTCGCTAAAATGACCGACAATTTACTTAGGTTCATTATTCTTTTCACATATGGTGGACTTTTCTTCCAAAAGTTTATTTTAAATATAATATTTATCATTTCAAAAGATTTCTTCGTCATAGAGTTTCCAATTTCAAATGAATTTATAATCTCAGACTAAAACAATAAGATACACGGAGTATGAAAAAGGAAGTGATTGAAGCCTAGTCGATACATATAATAAAATTGTAACAAAGTCGAATCTGTACATTAAATATTTTTTGGAAAATCTAATTGAAATAGACATTATTATCGATACAGAGTCCGAATCTATAGTTTTTAGATTTTTTGTCTGTCTGTCTTTCTCTCTGTCTGTCTGTTACCGCATCACGACAAAACCACTGGACAGATTTGGATGAAATTTGGTATGATGATAGCTGGTTATCCGGGTCAACATATAGGATACTTTTTACCGCAGGTAAATATCTCATTTCTGAGATAAAACACAAAAACTTCATTGTAAGAGTATAACTAATATGTAAAGCCTAAGAATTTGGTTTTTGGTCATCTGAACGCAGGCGGAGCCGCGGGCAATACTAGTAGACATATATTTAGCTTTTTATATCATTCTTTAAACCGTGCCAATAGTAAAGCAAAATAACTATATGAGAATAATTATGCTAATGCTCACTTTTATTATAATCTTTCGTTAGAAAAAATTATAATTCAATTCAAATCTCTTCAAATCAATTCAGTGCTCTTGTTAATAACATCAAAGCGTGCCACTTGAGCACAGATTACTTTGCCAATGTCACGTAGAATTCATATTTCTTGTTTTTCAAATATTTGTTATTAAATTAACCTATTTTGTTACTGACATTGACAGTTTCGTTTGGCTTCTTTTGCTGTTTTCGTCACTGTTACAGTTTCTGGATGTTAATAGCTTACCTATCTGTAGTTTTTCCTACTAAAGAGAGATATTTAACTTAAAGTCTATACAAACTATATCAAATACGTATCTCTAGTAAATAGAACCACAGATAGATACTTAGTCCATACTAGTATTATAAATGTGAAAGTGTGTTTGTTTGTTTGTCTTTCTTTCACATCGAAACGGAGTGACGGATGGGCGTGATTTCTGTGTGGAGATGGCTGGAGAGTGACATAGGCTACTATTTACCGCGGGAGAGAATCTAATTCCCACGGGAAAACACGTTGTAAGACAATCCAAAAAAATATTTATGATCAGAATTACTTGAAACTTGGTATTAAAGTTCTTCAATAAAATTAAATAAATACCTACGTGTTTAAGCATTTTTCGGAGTTCATCCTATAAGAGGGTGAAATAGGGGATGAAAGTTTGTATGAAACTACCTTTTTAAAGATTATTTGTAGTTTTAGCGCGAGCGTTACCGCGGGTTCTGCTAGTATTTAATATTTTGTAAAGTTTTATAATATTTTATAATACTATTTAGTATTACAGGCTGATGACCCTGTAACGGTGACGTATGGTACAGTGGCGCAAGTATTTTGTCCGAGCACCGTGAAGATTGAAGATAAGAGTATGCCACTATATGCTGTATCTATGTACATTAGAGGCTATTTATGTTTTTGTACGAGTGAAATGTAAGAAGAGAGATTAAAAATATGTAGTGAAAAGAGAGATCTATAGTTTTCTGAAACATTTATTATACTTAGTTTACATCAATGCTAATACGATTTTAATAAAACTTTAAACCTAAAATAATTTAACTCCTAAATGGGTAGGAAAAATTTATATTAGTACTATCAAATAACCATAGTAGCAAGCAATAGTGTCCCTTTTTTAACAGACTCGCTTAGAAAACCAAGTTATAGGGTTTTCTGTCCGGGTCGCGCATCTATAAAATATTGGAGGAAATTGCTCATATCTGTTTACCGTCTAGAGAAGATCTGATAGTCTGCAAACAGCTGAACGGATTTTCGTGATTTATAGGTACGTTTAAGTCATCTTTCAAACAAAAAAAACTAAATTAAAATCGGTTCTTCCGCTTGAGCGCTACGATGCCATAGACAGACATACAGGTTCAATTTTTACTCAATAAGTTAATATACTTATAAATTACAGTTTGCTTTAATGTTGGTATAATACACTGTGTTGATGCTACTTTTTCCTTAGCTACCTCAAGCGACAAAAAAAGAGTAAATACGTAAGTATACATTCAAATTCTTTATCAAAATATAATAAAAAAAGCCGAATTTTGTATGCCATATAAATATAAAATAAAGTTTTTGTTGATATTATTTCTAGTACATGCACAATTAAATTTAACGGGTCTTCTTCATCCCTCGAAGCCCTGAAAGTGCTTAGCCCCACTATGCGGTTGGCTTAATAGTT